AGTTTTTATTTAAGGAACGAATCCTAAAATACATTCTAGCTCTGAAAAACAATTATTTTACTTTGATGCTACAATTAACAAAATTACTTAAATCTAAGTGCTTCTGGACGTATTTGTACATACGAGATGTATATGCAAATCAGTACCATTTAAGTCGTCAAATACTGCTTGCAAGGCTCTCATATGCTCCATCAACATATCTGTTGGTTTTGAGAGTCCTCCTTTCGATAGGTGATCCACTCAAGTATAAGACGAACAATTTTCTGAATTGGCACAAATTTCGGGGTTGTCTTTACCAAGTTTGTGGCAGATGTACCCTGCCAAATTTTCAAGCCGCTCGTTGTTGAGAATCTTCAAGTCATCATTTTTTTCAATTGGGGCAGCGGAATTTAGATCAACTGACACACGTTGAAAAATATTACCTGCAAAAATATAATAAACATACATACATGCGTAAAAATAAATGGAATAAATTGCTAGTTAAGATTATTATTACAATTAGGATAAGAAACAATGGTTAGTATTCAAAAACTTAGTATGTATGTAAGTACATATTCGCATTTGCTAACATGAAAACATTTTTATATAAGAATATTTTCTGTAGTTTTAGGTTTATAATACTATGTACGTTTAAATTTTGATAATTACCGGTTAGAGATAAGTAATTCCCTTCCATATCTGAGGTGTTGTCGACTTCAACATTTCCTTCATCTGTCTTGATGGAACTCCTTTCTGTCAGGGTGATGTTGTTGTTGTTTTAACGGTTATCAGTCCCCGTTGGGATGGTGAGGGTTATCTGTGTTGTCGTCGATGTCATCTAACGGGAGGCCCAGGAAACGTGCTGTTTCGACGGGGTCGGACCAGAGGGAAAAAGGTGTTAGATGGGTGGGGTTGGTTGGRCATGCAAAGAGGTGGTCAGTGTCATGCGGAGACTCGTTGCATGCAGGACATACGTTGGGTATGTCAGAGTCTATTCTGGATAGGTAGGAGTTTAACCTCCTACAATATCCAGAACGAAGTTGCGCAAAGGTCACTTGCGTTTCTCGCGGCAACTTGAGCTCTTCGTTTGCTTTGGGAGGAGTTCATTATGCTCCTTAACTGGGAGCATAAGCGTCTCGCTATGTAGGTGCTCGATAGGAGACATCAGGAGGCATCAGGAGGATACGGAGAAACCCTGCTGCAAGGCGTTGCTCCAGTGACGACACACACAAATCAACACTCACCGATCCAAACGGGGTTAGATCGCCGAAAGAACAGCCCTTGGTCGGATGAAATCCGAGTCAATTCCGGTAACGTAGAAGGCTGTCGTGGGAATTGCTGTCAGGGTGATCGTGAAGACCGCCTTTTAACCTGATTACGCCAAACAAATTTTCTAAAACGTCCTGGTTTAAACGAGACTTCATCCTTTTCTGCCCTTCATTAGCCTCTGCAGGAGTTAATCTGGTTAACGTGAGAAAAGCGCTAGATAGCAACTTCGTTAGACTCCGCGACTTAAAGAGAAAGAGTGTTTGGTTATAAAAGTAAAATTATTGTAATCAAAATGCTATAATTATCCATTTCAAACTGCAAATTTCTTTCGAAGGCTTCTGGCGCGAAGTGCACAAAAATGAATCCACTATTTTAGTACTGTTTTATCCTAAGGTAAATAGAAAAATCTCCATTTCGTCGCACTATTTTTAACATTGTTATTATTGCATCCGAACACTGCACAACTCATTTTAAAAAATATAAAATTTCACAATTAATACTACACTCGAAAATACAATTCGAATTCACATTCAAAGGAGCAGGCGAATATAAGTCAACCGTGACGTCATCAAGAAAAGCTGACCGAAAGCAAACATGCGCATTGCGTAATCTTTTTCTCTATCAATCTTGCATATAATCCAATTCTAAATTCCATCTGTTCCCTTCACTCTCCAAATTGCAAACCAAGCACCAATGAATGTATCAGGATAAAACTTTTGCCCTTAAAGTAGTCCACCTTATGACCAAAAAGTCCTCAGATACCGAAAACATTGATTAAAGGACCAGTTGTGAATTTTTTATTGAAAATATCGGTAAATCTGTGAGACATATACATGTAGAAATTCGGAGAATCCTCTTATGCCTGTATGCAAAAAAAGAGTTAGTTACCATCTTTGTTCCTAAAATTGATAAAATCAGGTGAAAACTTGCCAAAGACCCCATATAACTTACAAACTTTATGCACTTGAAGGTATTTCCCCGGATTTGACCTGGCAGACTGCGAGAGTATCAAATGTTCGTTTACACCCGAACTTAGCACTTCCTTACTTGTTTTAAATGATATTTGTTTAAATGAATTCATACATATCATATTAAATTTATTTATGGCAATACAGTTGCTAACACTTCGTTTGTAGGGAACTAGTGGAAAAAGCAATTGTTCTCAATTAAAACCTGTCAAAACTTACCTAGCATTAAATAAAAAAGTGGTACAAATTCTTAACAATAAAATAGTTTTGTCTGACAAATTAAAGACAAGGAAATATTGAAATAATCTATTTTATTTTATTGTACTAATTATAATAATCTCTTTAAATAATTATGTTAAACTTTTGGAATATGAGTATTTACTTTAATAAAATGGTTTGAATAATTTTGAAAAGTTATAAATTTTGTTGTTAAAACAAAATAGGCTTAGAAGAAGCGGAAAATTTGGCATTTGCCGAGGGCGGTAAATTGCCTCTGGCCCGCCCAACTATAAATACACACGTTGTTAACTTAATAATAGCTCTTAAACTAATTTTTGAAAATTATTAGGAATGAAATATATTTTTACGCTTAGCATAATTAAGAATAGCCATGTTTTTGACCTTATTATTTATAAAGGCTTTTCCGTAAAATGATTGGTTACCAACAATTCCCCAAAGCACGAACACTATGTGGCAGTAAGTACATTCCATTCAAAACGAGGATTTTTCGAATGTGTCACCGGTAAACATTCCGGTTCCACCAATTTCCAGCCACCGTTCTCCATCTCCTCGACAGCGCCTAAACTGCAATATGGTATTTTATGTATCACTTGGCGCAATTCATTTGTAGAACGTGGTTCGGCACCAATTAATTGTCGTGTACACGTGTCAAGGGTAGTGGCATGTGCGACTATTAAAATGTTTCCCTCTACAAAAGAAAACAATTCAAATGAAAAGAATCAATGTTCAAAATTTCACTAATGTTGGATTATTCATAGCTCACTTGTAGTTTCAATGATTTTTCGCAAAGTTTCATAATTACGAATATAAAACTCTTCTGTGGTTTCCTTGACGCACTCATTCAATTTAGTGTCAGAAATGAAAGGTTGATAACTTGCATCTATGTTGTAGTCAGCATCTAGCAGCTCTGACTTACTCATCCAATCTGGCACACCATCTGGATACCAAGCCATCCATTCAAACAAACCCGGTTCTAGTTTAACTTTGAATTTGTTACGCAAGTGTAAACCTATATGTTTCAAGTTGTACCGAATTACAGTATTCTTATTATAGTACAGCATTAAATACTATTATATTCTAACCTTCTAATGTACTCATACATGTTTGAACACAACGATAAGCTGGAGAGCAGTAAACATGGTCGATGCGAGCATTGCATTCAAGTAACGCTTCACCCGTCAATTTCGCTTGATAAAGTCCAATGTTTGTGAGCGGTGAATCATTTTGCCAACCGTCTGGACATCTTTGCCTTTGCACACAAAAATTATTTATTACTTATTGGTAAAGCTTCTAAAGACAGGTTTTCCATTTTAATTGGGTTATGATTTCGAGACCTGTTGTTTTACCTACCTTCGTGGTAATTTCTTCGGCATATTTAGATCTTTGCGCACATAGTTGTTGAATTCATCGAAACAATAAGGTATCCAAGTACCGAAGGTAAAATCAACACGTTCACCATGTCGCATTATATACAATCTACGACTCTTGTTCGGCGATGCCTCAAGGCTTGCAACTTCATTTGAACGATCAGAATTTATACTAAGCGTGTCATCTGCACGTGGCGTTGAAATACTAATTGGCTCCACCATTATCTCCATGTCTCTTCGCTTTTTTGCCACTTCCATTGCGTGTGGCGAACTAATTTCGAAGCTGGGCGTTTCTTGTTGTAAAATGCATTCCGACTGATGTTGTATATGCTGCGGTTGTGATAGTTGACTACTGTTTGGCATTGAATTGTGATTCTCTTGTACAATTGGCAAATCTAAATAAGGTTTTAATGTTCTGTGTAAGTATTTTTCCACACTGTTCTCGGATTCCTCATTAAAAGAAGGGCTCTCTATTAATTCATGCGACAAGGCAACTATCACATCTGAAATAAGACAGAAATGGATAACAAATCTATATACGGTCAATAATGTAGAAACAAGTAGTTGCACAGACTTTGATGATGTAAACGCTTCTCACGTTCGTCGTGATCAATAGAAATGCTGTGACCATCCACAATGTCAATTTCTTCAGCCGATATTAAAGATGGGGTCGTTGATTTAGATAACTGTACAACGCGGTGAAGTGTCCACGCGTCTGATTCAGCGGTTCGTTCAGTATAATTCACAGGCAAGTAACCAACACTTCCAGTTAGCCAGGAAATACCCTCTGCCCAGCCATCGCTAGAATTGTCTACAGCATCCGTGTTCAAATAAATATAATCACCGATGCGCAACTCCAATTCATCAATTTCATGGGGGCTATGAGGATACACCACTTTGTGCACCTACAGAAGCGCGAAAATAGTGTTGTTTTGAATTATCAATCGTTGAAAAACAGCATTTATAAAAAAAAAGTAAAAGGAAACACAATTTTAAATAAAAGTTAATAATAAAGAATTAATCGAGAAAAAAATATACATGTAAAATGGTAAATGATGCAATGTACTTGTTTTGTGGTTAGTCGTGGGTCGCGCGAATACAGACGCAGCTCCCAATTTGAGGCAGAAGTTGCATTGAGCGATTCCACTAACGTTTTCAGTGAATTAAATTGATTCTGCGGAAACTGATATGCTAAGGTAAGATGTAGAGATTTTACGTGCGGCTCCAAAGATATTGCTAAAATATACACATATATGTACATATATTGTATTTGTAGACAAAAAAGTGGCATTAAATTTCTTATATACATATGTCTACGAGTGCATGCAAAATTGTATGTATTTATATATATATTAATACTTTCAGTTTACCAAATACTTATAAACAAAAAATAATGTTCGGAATTGAGCCTCCAAACCAAGTAAAACTACAGAAGCAATGAGTTACAAAGAAATATAATTTCAAAGGTGGACAGTATTAGAATCCAAAAATGTTTGTTTATAATTTCACAGGATTTTACCCATTCTATTTTATTCGAGCTCAAATTAATTTAACACTCATTTAGTGGCCGTAATTTATTTATCTTTTACATAAGCATCGAAACTAAAAGCTTTTTAATACATGGGGTTAAAATTGTTCAATCAGTTTGTGTGACAGCTCTATGCTACAATGGTCCGATCCGAACAACATACTCGGGTATTGTAGCATAGCAATGCGCTTTAATCCGCACATATATGTATGTACATAATAAATAATGCCTGCAGACTGACATTGGTAATCACGTAGCTCGTCACGTTGATCATTTATATATACATACATATGTATACTTTACGTTATTTTTGTGATTTAAATTATATTTATGCATTTTGCACTGGATTCAGAATGCTTCTAATAATTAGTGATTAAAAAATTAGATGTACATATGAAAGATAAATCACACACACAATTTTCTAAAATAATTGTTATTTTTCTTACATCGACTACTACGCGGTATACAACGTGTACCAGATGAAACACCACCGCACCATGGGAAGCAAGCAACTATTGCATCAAGCTGCTCGTATGTATCACTTATGACTTTATGAAGTTTTTTTAGCAAACAATTTTTACAGTTAAGCACAATGTTACAAGTTCCAATGAAAGCGTTTTAAAAATGTAGAAAAGAGCACCAAAAATTTACCATTTACATAGTTAAAAATATTAATATAATACCTTGGTCTCAAAAAATATGACAACGAAAAATTAAATAACTAAAGATATTTTCATACATGAACATGTTCATACTTGAATTGGAAACCTCCTTAACATATTGTAATGAAAGCCGTTTCATATAGTTTGCGTCATCCTCGGCTACAAAAAATCCCATAAAATTTTGACTCAAATAAGGCTCTAATTTCAATGGACGATCTAGAAGTGGTCCACTCATATCAACTACTTGTTTCAAGGCTTTAGATAGATGCAATGAACTTTCGTCTGGGGCCTTCATAAAAAGGAGAAAAATTAAAACAAAAAATTGATGATCACGCTAGCATCTGCAAAATTCAGATCAATATCTTTTTAACATTTATTTTTACCTTAAAAAATGAAACCAATGTGATATGTGGCACATAATTATGAGCACCATTCCAACCACACATTATCCGTGATTGGTTCCAAAATTCCTCCAATTGATGTAAAAATGAGCCAGTAGGGCATGCGTACAGAATATATTCTCGCGGACAATTTTCATCCAAAGTTGAGTCATTAACATGCGCAAGCAGCCAATCAGAAGCGATTTGAACACCTCGATTACCAGTTGCTGCCAATGCTTTTTCTCTGTATTTAAAAAATAATATTTACATGTGGTATTATCTATAATACACATAACAAAAAAAAAAAATATTTTCAGAAATCCCTGTTTAAGGATCAAATATCTTTGGAAAGATATAAACTCTATAGCTTTAAGTTCATTTTTTTCTATTCACAGCTGCGTGCGTCACACAATAACCGACTTTTATGCTACAAATTGCGAGCGAGAAATTTAAATACATACAAAATATACTGGTCGCTAATAATTTGTTACCAGCTATCTATTTGCTACAACCTTTCCTTAAGAATGTTGTTGTTGTAGCGGCAGAATTCTGCCAAATTGACAGTCCTTGACCGGATAAAAAATGCGGGTCCGTTCCGGTTACGTAGACCTGACTGTCGTGCGAACGATTTCCTTAAGAATCTGTGAATATGCTTTATTCTAATGATTATACCGTGTAATAGTTTAAATGCAGAGAAAAATATGCAAGTTTCTTACTCACTGGAACTATTTAAAACTAACGTAATTGTATTTCTTTAAAAATATTGTCGTCCTTTTTTTAACAATTTATTTATTTACTCAGGGTTTTGCGGTTATAATATGGATATTTTGAAAAGGCTGCTGGCTAAGAAAAACTATGTTCATATTATTGGTTATTTACTGATACCTCTTGGTAAGTTAAGAATATTTATATATATGTAGATTTGTCGACTTTTATAAATATAATATCCAGTATGTATATTTAAACGTGAGTTGGTTTCAATTTATCAATAATTATATAGAATCACTTTTTACACACTTATGATGTTAACTTACGCTCTGTGCTTGGTAAAACCCATTTGTAGTAACGTCTGCAACGGTGATAAGTGCTGCTTTGAAATTCTAGTTGGTGTCAGGTTCTTTCGCGGCGGGAGTTGAGCCATGGTTTATGTTCCTTCTTATCAAAAACAGAACAGTGGTAATGAGGTTTCAATTAAAATTAAAAATTATCCTCAATAATTATGATCGGGTACATACAATCTAATACTTTTGTTGTACAACCAGGTACAATCCCTGGTACAATTTTGCAAATTTATATGATAAGATTCACTTTTTCTTTCTATCGTCTACTTAATCGAAACTGTCATGTTAATGAAGCTGAACTAAATAATCCTAATAGCAGCTACCAACGTTAGATTTGTTTAGCAAACTACGCCACAAAACGAAGCAAGTTAAATATAATTTTTTTTATTATTCATATTTAAAACGAATCATCATCCAATGTTTAATACAGGAACAGAAAATAACAGCTATTTCATAATTTTTGACTAAAAAACTATTTTGAGCGTATATGATATATCTACGTTCTCTGCCACAAGTCTGTCACTGGCATAATTGAATCGTGACATAAATTCGAAACAAAGAGCATACATATATAATATTCGTTCCCGGGTGTAAGCCCGAGCAAGTCACGACTACCGAAACCTAATACATCGCACTGAACAATGAAGCGCAGAAAAAAGGGTATGTAGTAAGGGTAGCAAGTTATGGCTTGGCAAAGCGTTAAATAATGAGAGTTGTCCATTTTGCTTGGCTTCGCATCGAAAAACTTTTTACGTGAACTTATGTGCTGTCAAATCAAAAGTCTGACGCAAAACGAAGCAAAAGTTCTATGTGAATTGGCCACTAGTTTTCACTGTTCGACACAAAACAAGCCTAATATGCAACAAATAGAGAGCGACACAACATGACTGCACATCTGTGAACTGTAAACGGCGTCGTGAAGCCAAAAGTAATTTTATGCAAAGAATAAGTAAATTAATATGTTTTTAATTATAGATTGTTATTACAAATGATATAATAGAGGCATTTTGTGATTCTCTTTGTAAAATAACGTTATTAAAGCTTTGAGTAATTTTGAATATTAATGACATCACTACTCCTCTATACTGTCGTCACAAAGTTTAAATATATTTTTAAATTCTGTCGTGTAGTCGTACAGCTGTCTAAATAAATGTGTCCTTAAGAACATGTGTATTTTAATATTTGATAGATGTCGCGTCTGTCGCTCTCTATGTATTCAGTACTCAATTGTTATCAAAAATTTAATGATAAGCTATTTCGACATGCAGGTAATAAACTATGGCGCGGCATTATGACTTATTAGGAGTGTATTTATAGGAAATGCTTCCTCTTTACGTAGGAGCAAGTACGACGGTGAAGGCATATGCAGAAAAACTCCTGCGGGACTTGTGGGACTTGATGCATTTATAGAAACTTATCAATCAAATCTTGTAACGTAGAACCGACTGTTGTGGGGTTTGTACTACAAATAACTCATATAATTAGGGGTTTATATAGTCTTATAAAGTTATAACGAACAGAAAACATTGCGTTGAGGATTGTAATTGCTTAAACTCATTTATGTATGTAATCCAACAATTGATTTAAACCAGAGTAACAATTTATGATTTTATGATGCGTTATGATAAGATGTGAGTCGCCTAAATACCAACGAAATTAGTTGATCCATTTACTATATGTATATAACTCTATACATACCAGTTAATTTTAGATCTTACAAAAACACATTTACTGATCCAAAATATTGTAGATGTTAAAAAGACACAAAAATGTAGGTTTGTTTTGGTTAAGTATTTAATAGTGTATCTAACTATAATAACTTATTTTCTACATACATATGTACATATGTATACAAATGTCTAAGTAAACTGATTGCATTTTAGACTCACAAAATCACCTAATAAATAGGTACAATATAATTATCCAAACTGATGGTTTACAATTGTTTTACATGTAATAGTAAATCAAATAGCCGAAAAACCGTGAAAAAGAATGTTCAGCGTATTATTTCCTTAAGTTTCAGTGTTTGCTCTAAAAAGGATTCAGCGTAAAAAAGATCTCTATTTTCAATTCAAACCGTGATTAAATCATTTTACTTTTCCATATATTTTTATACAACTTTGGACATGTCGGACACTGTAAAATACATATACACAGGTGAAAAAAAGTAATTTCTTCGAGTTTTACCAATTTTGCATGATTCCACAAAAATATATTTTTTTGACAGTTTAAACAAAATTTCCATTACTCTATTCGCTACCCTATATATGTGAGTATATATATATAACGTTTTATGTGAAAAATATCCAATTAAAATTTAAAACGTTGAGGAGAATACAACCGTAAGTGATAAAGGTAAATATATTTTTTGTAATTTTTTAATTCCGTAGTTCAGCCATTTGGGCTTCGAAAAGAGCAGTATTTATTTTATGTTTAAGACCTAATAACACTTCACGATTTGTTATGTTGCGCATTTCATTAGATACATATTCGCCATAAGTAGTATATTCGTCGCGTATATGACCTGATGTGTGAAACACTTGCGGTCCAGAATTCGGATTGGTTGGTTTATCTAGATTTCGTCCTGGCAAATGTTGCTTTTGTTGACTGCTGATTTTGATTTTGGAATTTAACAATATGTTTGGTGGATGTGTACCTGCAGATGGGGTGGATGTTATAGGCAAGGAATTTTGTTGTCCTGGGCCGCCATAGAAATCTCGTTTGTCCTCATGTGACGGGTCAGCTTCATCTTCATATTCAATCTCTGGATCATTGCAGGAATTATTGTGTTGAGCTTTTATAATACGTGTAGATATTGTTTGCTGATTATGAGAAATATCACAGCCATCAGCTCCTGTCGAAGATGTGTATGTGATTTCTTCCTCTTCCTCCTGTAATTGAATAGCTTCCAATTGTTCTTCATCTCCTCCTGCGTTTATTCTCTGACTATTCATTTGGTCTTCAACTTGCATTTCATTGTTATAGCTTTGCTGCTCCATTGTAATAGTCATTTTTTGCTTATCATCACCATCATCAATATCTTTGGTAGTTTCTTCAATTAACTTTTCTAATGCGCGTGATCGACTGGTATTACGGTAATGTTTAGAGTTGCTTATGGGCTCTATCGCAATAGCAGACTTTTGATGTATTAAAAATTCTTCATTTACATTGTTATTTAAGTTCACAGAACTTCCACTGCTATCGTGATGAGTATTCGAATCTCTTATAATATATTTTGATGTCACTGTTCCATCTTCCGTAATTTCATTTTTAATACGTCCTCTCGAGAGCCGTCGAGCCATTGGAGAACTTAAAAACTGCAAGTTCTTGAAACCAAACCATTTGGAATTGTAGGGCTCTTTACGATTCATTCGATTTATTTCGCGATGGTATTGAGTACGCAAAGTGTGGAATTTCTTCTCGACCTCGTTAACAGATATGCTTCCACCAAGACTATTACTCACTTCTATCAGAAGATTCTGTTTAATATCCTTTTTCCTATAATCATCATGTGTCATATCCCATAGACCTCGTCTTTTACGGTATTCATTAATAAGTGTAAGTGTTCTTTCTCGCGTCCATTCCATGATTTATTGTTAATATCCACAATAAAGGTTATATAGAAATTAATATACAAATAGTCCTCTTAAAGTTACTCTAAATCGTTAAATTTGTTGGAAAAGAGCTCGAATGTTGATAAAGGTCCCGTACAAATTTTCGGCTAAGGAATATGATGTAAAATGCTCTTAAAAAATATGATCAAATCAATTCATATGCTGATGTATATATACTTAATTAAACAATATTTATCAGTAAACAATTTTTCATTCACCTAGTGTTACAGTTTTGTTTTAGTCTCCATCTTTACGATGGTCTCCATGTTTAACAATCGGGGACCCAGATATCTACAAATTGTTTTTATCCATCTTGGGAGACTTTTTGACTTTTATTAATCTAAATTAGAGCTACCACTGAATCAAGTTACAAATTTCTTCCTTTAGAATAGTTACTCCGCAGTTGCACGATCAACCACCTGCTTTAAAGCACGCAGCCTGTTTAAAAAATCACAAATATTTTTTGTAGGCTTCTAATATAAATTAGACTCTAAAATTATTAGAATGTTTAAAATTAAACTGACCATTTTATATTGAGATATTATATAAAAGAAAATAATATTTCTGCCGATTTTCATTTATACTGTTTTTATAATATTTCCCAATTTCACAGCAAAAACGCAGAAAATTTTTTACTTTGAGTTAACATAAATGACTACTGTGAAGAAAATATCAATATATGCAAACAAAAAATGTATCAACTAAGAATATTTACATAGTATATCGTTTTTCTTAGCTCGCTGTGTACTCAAGTACTTCTCAAAATTTATGAAAATTGAAAGTCGTACATTGATAATCGATAATAATTTCAAGACGTCGTCTTCAGGGAAATCGAGTAGAATTCTTAAAAATTAATAATGTAATGATTAATATACTTAAATTGAATCTATGAAAATAACGAAATATTCACATTTCCGACAATAGCATGTCGTTTATTTGCAAAACTATATTATCAGTAATTTTTACTTGATCGTCAACTTGCCCTATTATTGATTTTAAAATTTCTTTCAAAGGTATTAATTATAACTATACAAAGATTTGTGAGTAAAATATTAAAAGAAGAATAAAGATAAAATAAATTTTTCCCCTTTTAACAAATGCATTTTTAGAATTTAAGGCATTAGTCGATTTAAAAACAAATAAAATTGTTCTCAATCAGTATTATTAAAAAATAGGTCTACATATTATGTAATATTCTTTGCTTCCTTTGCAAAATATAAAGATATGGTAACGCCATTTGCTATTATACAACTGTATTAATCGTTCTTCTACAAACTGTTTGTTGCTGTCTGTATAAATCGAAGTGAATAAAAAGCGAAATTTTAAATAAAAGTTGTTTTAGAGATAAAAACTAATTAATTCATGCAATTTAGTTATGCCTTAATTTATGAAAGTGTATAATACTTAATTGAAATTGGTGAATTTATGAATTTTAAACACAAATATCTGAAAAACTAAGATCGCGGCAGTTATATATATGCATAGAAATATTTATATATATATATTAATACAATAATATGAAAAGGCAAAATGTTCGTACCCTATCCCTGGTCGTTTGTACGTTTACATATTTGCTTATTGGTGCGGCTGTATTCGACTCACTGGAATCACACACAGAAGCGAAGAGATGGGATTTTCTGCAAGGTAAATATTTTATTCCGGGGAATGTTCGCTTAGTGATACTACTTTTTGAAGAGGTTTTGCGCAAAGGGGGAGGGGGATGGGGGCTTGATACTCCTCTCATTTGAAAGGTAATGAATGGAGCTTTTGAATACTAGCACCCTTCCCCCCCTAGGAGGACTTGGGGCTCTAGGGCAGCCTACTAAAAATGGTGTAAAATCGTAGTTTTTCCATACAATTTTCACTAATTATTATAAAATTTATGTATTTTTACGCATAGAGTGACTATGTTTATTATTTTTACTATTTCAATGAATTAAAGTGGAAATCCACATTATTTAAATAATAAAAACACTGAAAATTTAAAATTGTAAATTGTGTCGGTAATAATGCATACAAGTAGTTGAAGTACCAAGATAACCCAACCAACCATTTGTACAAGACCCCCTAAATAATAAAATTGGGAATATCATCATCTTTGAAAAAAATTAGATATTATTTTATATAATACTGTTTTGAAAGAAAATTTCAAAGCTCCCTGAAAAGCGCCGCAGGCGAAAATTTGGAATAAAAAATCGCGCGATTTCTTTGCAGTGCAGTATTCTGGCAGGTCTGAAGTCTGCATCCAGGCGACCATATTGGTGCTGCGTAGTTAAGGACCGGCCGGCCGATTGCATTGTAAGTTGCCAACAACGTTTCTTTGTCTTTTTCGAATGTGCTGCCGGCTAGCGACTTGAGGATCTTGTTGTGGCTCTGTACATTGGCGATAATCGCGGTCGTATGGGGAGAGAAGGAGCATAGACTATCGAAGGTTACGACTAAAATCTTTGGGTTATTGACAGTCGGAATTTTGACGCCATCGACTGCAATATTAAGCTCAAGTCTATACTCCTTCGTCCAGTTCGTAAATATGGTCGCTGTGGATTTGGTGGGGGAAAGTGTAAGGTTTCGTGCAGTGWGGAAACGAGAAAGGTCGGAGAGGTAGTTGTTTACCTTCGAACACATGCCATCGATTCCATTGCCCGACGTCAATTTCATGCAGTCATCTGCGTAGGTTATGGAAACCCCCTCTGGTGGTTGTGGGAGTTTCGAGATGTAGAAGTTAAACAGTAGCGGGGCGAGGGCACCACCCTGCGGAACCCCCTGTTTAATTCTTCTCATTTTAGCTGTTTCACCTCCAATTAGTACGGATGACTGATGACCGTTCAGATAGTTCATGGTGCACCTCTTTAACCTTGGAGGAAGCGTGGTTTTTTCAATGTCTTGCAGTAGCGTTATGTGGTTGACTCATTCAAAAGCTTTTGACAAGTCCAACGCTACGGCGAGCGTTCTCTCACAGGGTGGTTTCTGGTTGAGGCCACGAACTATCTGAGCGTTTATGACGCTAAGTGCTGTGGTGGTGCTGTGCACTTTTCGGAATCCATGCTGGTGACTGGCTAGACTCAGGTGGTGAGTGAAAGTCGAGAGTAGCAAGGCCTCAGCCAATAAGATTCCCCTTTCTTGGTTTCCCAGGTTTCAGTAGTGATACCACTCTTCCGATTTTCCACACATCGGGTATTTGAAGAGTGGTCAGTGACAGGTTGAGGACCATGGTGAGATAACCTACTCCCGCCGAGCCTAGATGCTTCAGCATTAGCATGTCGATTACTTCAGAGCCAATGGATTTGAAGGATTTTGCTTTATTGATGTCACTCTGAACCTCTTCATCGGGGAAAGTAAGCGGTGCGTAGTTGTTTGGCATTTTGCGCAGCCGTTGGTTAATACATCTCTTGGCTTTGTCTACCGAAGGGTGCAGTGTAAACTGCCGGCTAAAATAGCTCGCGCACTTCTTCGGGTCCGAAGAGGCATGACCATTGAATTGAACTTCAACTCGGTCAAAAGCTTACTCACACCGCTGGAGAGGTTACAGGACTTCAAGTACTCTATCCATTTCGTCCGCTGATGATGGTTTACCATACGCCGAATCTCCAAATTTTTTCGGCGATCTAACCCCGTATGGATCGGTGAGTATTAATTTTATTCCTGGAAAATATGATTTTTAAAACAACCTTGTTAAGGATGACATGATATGGGTCTCTCCCTTTTTCCCGGGTAAATTTTAGAATAGCATCCCCCGACTTCGGGTTAAAATGGGTATGTACGTATATACCAGATTATCCAAATCACGAAAAATAAAACGCAGATTTATGGTTTTTGAGATATTTGGATTTAAAGTTCAAAAATTCAACTATTTAAAATGGGTGTTTCTCCTATTTATAATGAATTTTACACTTATATTTATAATTTTTACCCCCATTTGCCCATTTATTTATCATAAATAGTGTAAAAATAACTTAAATTTCAAATTAAACTGTCATTGAAAATCAGAGATAAAGAGAAGATTTCAATCTGGCCGTTCCAGTCATTCCAATGACAAAACGTCAAAACCTACCCAACATTTTGCATAGTAGAATCAGAGTTGAAGGGATGTCCAACAATTACTAAACGTCAAAACCTCCTGAAGTTTGACAGTTGATCGATTGGAAACGAGCGATGGCCAGATTGAAATCGTACCAAAAAATATGTAAACGGAGGGATTTGTTGCACCACTTATAAAAAATGTAAAATAATGAAAATTTAATACATTTGAAATCGTACCAAAAAAAATTTTAACGGAGGGATTTGTTGCCCCACTTATAAAAAATGTTAAACAGTTGACAGTTGATCGATTGGAAACGAGCGATGGCCAGATTGAAATCGTACCAAAAAAATATGTAAACGGAGGGATTTGTTGCACCACTTATAAAAAATGTAAAATAATGAAAATTTAAAAGGTATCTGATGAAAATTTTTGTAATTTGAAGCATCATAGTATTATTTTCAATGGAAAATGATTAAAAAAATTTAATGATTGACAGCTAACAGGCTTAAATCCTGCATTGTCCATGGAAAGGTCAAAAGTCCATTGTTCTAATATACTACATAAAGATTTAAATAGTTTATCCAAATAATAAATAACCACTATATAGTAATTTGTATTCGTACTAAAATGTTGGATGTTTTAATTTAAGGGGTATTCTAGTCTAGAAATCTGAAAAAATCGAATTTTTTTTTTTTCATAATTCGATAGTTTTGATATTCAAAAATATATCCTTAAAAGGATTTTTCAAAACTCAAATTATTTTCAAAGTTATGCCATTTTAGTGACGTGGCAACTAGACCGGTTTAGCGAACTATCTATTGCGCTGCCCAAAACTTTACGTAAAACTTTAAACGTGTTTTTCTCAAAACTCCTTTTTTTGATCCGGTAGCCAAAAATCTCAAGTTCTAATCAGTCGATCTGTTTGAATTTTGGCATGATTTGAAATTTGGCATGAATATTCTTTAAATATATATCTATCACTAGAAGCAACAAAAAAAAATTTAAATTTACAATATTTAAAAAAAAAGTCAACAAAATTTAAAAATGAATTAATTTAATGAAAAAAAATTTTCTGCTTCATGACAAGGCGACATTCGTATTCRTCAAGAATCTGTCATTGTTTTATTTTTTCAGATTACGACAAGGGTAGAAATCATGGCGACGAGGACACGGCCTCTTTTTCCCCATTTTTCTTCAAGGACGCATAACTCGATTAAAAAAAATTTTTTTTGAAATTTATTTTGTGTACTCTTCTAAGTTTAATAAACAAATGATAAAAAACGGATAGTAAAAATATCTAGTGATTCTTTTTTATTAATTGTCGGAAAAAGCTCGAAATTCGAGCCTCTAGACTAGAACACCCCCTTAAATGACCAAAAATTATTGTTTTGTTCAATCTGGCCATTATGGAAAATGTTATAAAAAACGCTAAACACTGGAAAATATTGGACATATCCCTTTATTTCTGGTGCTGTCTTGATAAAAGCAAATAAGAAATTAATAAGAAGTTAATTCGGATAATGAGTAGTAAAGCGTTAAATTGTAGGAAGAAGAAATAATAAGAAATCGATTACGACGGAAAGWGGAGGTCCTGAGGGCTAATATACGCATATACCCTCAGACTTATAGTTTTCGAGATATTTGTATTTAAAGTTCCACAATTTTATATGCAACTCACAACTAGCAGTGTTGTCACTATTGTGTTTTGAAAAAAAAAATAAAAAAAATTTCTGTTTTTTTAGGGACGATGGTACAAAAGGGTTTTTGTTTGATGTGTATGGATTTTGTATCTTATGTTATTTAGTAAATAAAGATGAAAAAATAACCCTTGTCGGTCCAACACCGGGGTGTTCATAGTTCTTCTGTGTCGATCTACTTTCTTCACTGGCTGTATTTACTAAATATTGTATAATAATATTTTTCTCTTATTTTTAAATAATATATAATCCTAATCATAAAATGTGTGAAAAGTGGGTTAAACATTGTGAAATAATAAGCATTACTTTCACAAATTTTTGAACTTTAAATACAAATATCTGGAAAAACATAAGTCTGAGGAGGATATATCTACATACATTTTTTAATCCTGAGGACCTCCTCTATCCATCCGTACCATCAAATAACGGCGCCAAAAGAATCGTAGGCACAATTCCGATTTCTTTGGCGCCGCGATCTGAAGGTACCGTTGGAAAGAGGAAGTCCCCCTGATTAAAAAATATAATATATAGGGGTATACGTACCGCAAACGCTTAGTTTACGAGATATTCGACCTTAAAATTCGTAAAATTCGAACATTTCAATAAGCTATTTCACCACATTAAACACACTTTATTCACGTTTTTCATTTCAAAATAATTAAATTACACTATAAACTTTTAAATAAATCCACATTTCAAACTTTTGGCAGTTTGCTTACCTAAACAATCTTTATTTTAAAAATTACATTTTACACTCGTTTGAACCTCATTTGTTTACCAAAAATTACGACGAAATGGAGTGCTGCCATTTGATAATAAGGAAAATTCGTCTTTTTAGCAAATTTCCTCTATTCATGCATATGGATATTTTCTTTTTTAAATTTATTAAGCAAATAAGAATATTATGTACATGTATTAGTAATATATCACACGATTTTACTTATATGTGTTTATCAAATATAAATCACATATTCATATATTCATATATGTATGTACTATATGGAAAAGTGTTCACATATTAAATTTTAGCTTGAAAAATCTTCTTAATCGTTTTTTTATAGTTAATAAAGAAAAAAGAATCACTCGAAAGTACAAACAAAGAAAACGCTGAAAAATCCTTCACTTTTGGTTTTTAAGGGGTGGCAAAGCTGGTTTACTTCGTAAATGTGAACACTCTAAACTTATCAGCCATAAATTTGATAAGTGATTTTTAAATTACTAAATTTTAATGCTTACAGTGTATATTTAAATATATGTACATATAAAAAAAGTGAAAAAAATTTAATGAAACATAAAGAAATAACATGTGTTTTCAGTGCAAATTTTTAAATTTTTAAACTAGAATATTTTAAAAAATATTAGTTATTTTTATATTATATCTAGCTATTCCTCCTCTGGAGAAGCTCCCCTATCCGTACATACTCCATTCCTACGGAAATTCGGGTTTTTAACCCCTCCGCCAAAGTAATCGGAATCGCGCCGAATCGTAATATAACCTACAAGGTAGAAATATCGAGAAATCCGTTACATTTAGTGTCAGAAGTGGCTTTTTAAACGTGAATATTTAAAAGAATATTAGTTATTTTTATATTATTTTTGGATATTCCTTCTTTGGAGAAGCTTCCCTATCCGTATATACCCAATTTCTACGGAAATTCGGTTTTTTAACACCTCCGCCAAAGTAATCGGAATCGTGCCGAATCGTAATATAACCTACAAGGTAGACGATATATCGATAAATTCGTTACAATTAGTGTCAGATGTGGTTTTGTCAAATAAACTCCTCAAGGAAATAATTATTTGAAAATCGCAAAGTTTAACGATCTGAAGATTCCATAACTGAAAAAGGACCTTAAGCAACGCGGTTTGGCGACAAATGGATAAAAAAAATTAATTACGATAACGATTGCGAGAGGGCACGGAAGCGGAAAACATTAAAGAGGAACAGGAAGGCACAACGAAGATAGAAGAAATGGACAGAAACATGATGTCAACGGACGTGTCAACGCTAATATCGACGCAGATAACTTCAAAAATATCAGAGTCATCACTAATATTGACGAAGTGCACTTACGAATCACGACAATCTTGGGGAAATGAAATGGCGGTATCATTAATCTGGTTGTCGTCATTCAGTTACGGAGAGGAAAGCCTAATATGTTTAATGTACGTAAGTACCAAACCATTAATGCTAAAATGACAATTTGATTATTAGCCAAATCCTATAGGATACCTTACCGACAGTACCCTTTCGAGGTAAAAACTCAAAACTGAGAAGAATTAAACAAGGGATTCCGCAGGGTGGTGTCATCTGCTTAGAGCGGAATAGCCTCCTAGGAGCAACAAGATCTCATTCCTCAATTAAAAAAGAACAAACTTTGCTCAGGACAAATCTTTTCAGCACCTTCTCAGACAGTGGGAAAATGAGTAATACCGGGTTATAACCCCGTTCACTGGCGATGATCGTCTATCCCGAAGCAGGGTGCATGAGTGGTTTCAACGTTTTCAAAGTGGTCGTGAGGACATAAATGGCGATCAACATATGGGCATTGAAATTCATGGAAATGGAATAGAACATCTTCAAAACATCGATTTATCGCATTTTGACCGAACATTTGCGCTTACGAAAGGTGTGTGCACATTTTGTTCCGCACAAATTGACCGATGAACAAAAATTGCTCAGAATCCAACCGTGCACCGTGGCACCGTGCGACTTCTTCCTTTTCAGAAAAATGCATTTGCGTCCCTGTTATGCAGACGTAGAGGCCATTCAAAAGGCTTGCACCGGCTTACTGGCGGCTGTACCGGCCAACGAGCTAAAATACTCGTTCGACATACCTTTTGGACCGTGCAAAAAGCTGAATTGAAGCAGAAGGAGACTATTTCGAATAAAATAAATAGATTTTACCGAAAAAACCATTTGTTCTGTTTTCTTTTTTTAAGTCCTGTTTACTGTGGAACAGAAGTTGTATAGATGAGGTGTCGGTATGGTAAGAACGTATATTCAAAATGGAAGACAATAATTCTTAGAAAGTATTTTGTGACTAATGACTAGAGACTGTATTGTGAATAGCAACTAGTCACAAATTCAGACTTTATTTCAAAATGTCTCCAATAGTAAATAGATGCTGCTTACTGAGTTCCGGTATTAGACTACTTTTTGTAGTAGTGCACTGACAGTATGGCTTTCATAACGGAGCATCTCGACAGGAAAAATCTATGTCTTACTAACTGTAATGCCGTGCCTATTGCCTGTGGAGACTCCATATTGCTTATTGCTTACAATATATGGAATACTAATTAGTTTGTCATATATTGTAAGCAATAAGCTGTCACTTCAACAGTTTTACAGCGCAGTTTTCATTTCCATGAAAATTTCGAAGAGACAATATATCCCGCTTGCACATACATACATATACCGACGGCATTTTCATTTTGGTAATATGAAATTTAGAAGAGCGAGTATTAAGACGGTTGTGTTATATTATTAAATAAAATACATTTTCAAAATAACATTTTTCCAAAAAATTTATATTGAGTTCAATATTGTTAATTTACAGAAAAATTATGCAAATTGGGTTGGGAATGAGCGAAGTCTTAAATTTAATAAACTTATATAATACAAACATAAATCAAAATATCACAATAAAAGCTATTTTTCCCAGAAATACATTGCAATTGGCAATAGATTTGACAGTTAGTATGACATAAATTTTATCCTGCCGAGATGCCCTGTAAGATTTAGGGAGGATCATACAAAGTCATACAATTTACGAACTTATCTAACTAAAAATTTATTAATTATGGACATTACATTAAGTATGACACCGAAGAAAGGCCAATAATCAAATGATCAAATATAATTTCTCTCTTCTAATTTTAGCTGTAAAAAGCAATTTCGTCAAAAAGTATAATGTTACTGCCGAAGACTATCGGATGATGGAAATAGTGATTATCGAAAATAAACCACACAAAGCCGGGCCGCAGTGGAAATTTGCCGGTGCCTTTTATTTTGCTACCGTAGTTCTGGCTATGATTGGTTATGGTCATTCAACACCAGTAACAATAGGTGGCAAAGCGTTTTGTATGGCATATGCAATGGTAAGTATTTACTTTACAATATTATACATAAGATTGCACAATATCCGTCTGTTGTTGAAGTAACTCCTGCTCTGAAAAATTCTATAAAATAAAATATATACATATATATAGTAAGTTACCATATTACAATTGTGTGAAAGTTTTTCTCATCATACCCCTGTATTATTTATATGATAAATTGAGTTTTTGGTAGCTGAGCTGCATTGTACTTAAAACCGGCAGAATAAGGCATGAAAATGAAGATGACTTTAACTTTTAATGTTTGTATTGGTTAATTTGTATACTTAACTCAAGTTAAGTTTTCTTGTTTTCTTAAGCACGATGTATCCAAACCTTGGTCCAGGAACGATACCACTAAATTTACTTTTTCTGACACTCCCGTCCCTCTGATTGACTTTATCTTCATGTAACCAATATACAAGTATTAAATTTCGTGCCCTTGGTTGAGTTTATATAAGGCGTGTTTTATTTTACCATCATAAGCTAGTAGCTAAGCCATGGACAAATAAAACACATCTGTATATTTCATATTTTTGCTTAAAAATTAAGTGTGTTGGCAATGCGGGTGGGAACAGTCAGCTGATATTCAATTTTTTATCCTGTCGATATGCCCCGTTACAAGATAAAATTTATGGCATACTAACGTCAAATCTATTGCTATTGCGTAACATAATCATTTGCGAAAAGGCGTCGGGTAGATAGGTTCGACCTAATCTAGCGCATTTTTGAGCTCTTAAAAAAATTATTTTTTTATTTGTGAAATATCGAACCTACCGAGCTGATGTAGCGCATGTTTTGAATAATGTAAGTATTATGTCATTCGTTAGTAAAATTGTGGTTGTACATAAATTTGTGTTAGCTGGATTAAGTTTACTCTAATATACAGGTTATGTAGAAATTAAACTATGTGCGCCTAAAACTTATAGTATATCATCAACAAATGCCCATTCTACACACAAAATAAAACCTAACGGTAAATATCATACCGTTATTATTTGTCAACTTACAGTGTGCACTTACCGTATGTACAATTTTTTAATTGTTGAACTTTTGAAAAAAATATTCAAAGAACAATATAAATGTGCTGGGGTATACATAGTTTTGTCGGATACTGTATATGTACACGTATAAAATCTTTGCCAATATCAATATTAGATTAACGACTGTAAAATGATATCGTTGCAGGTTGGCATTCCGTTGGGTCTCGTCATGTTCCAGTCGATTGGAGAACGTTTAAATAAGTTTGCTTCAGTAATAATACGACGAGCGAAACGTTATATGCACTGCACTCAAACCGAGGCAACTGAAATGAATTTAATGTTAGCGACGGGTATGCTATCGTCCATCATTATAACCACTGGCGCAGCAGTCTTTTCACGCTATGAGGGCTGGAGTTATTTCGACAGTTTCTATTACTGCTTTGTGACGCTCACAACCATCGGATTCGGTGACTATGTGGCGTTGCAAAACGATCAGGCGCTGATCAATAAACCCGGCTATGTTGCGCTCAGTTTGGTGTTTATTCTATTTGGGCTTGCGGTAGTCGCTGCCAGTATCAATCTGCTGGTTCTTCGCTTCATGACCATGTAATAGAAATAAAGTGTTGGGTATATAACACTGAATTTCATTTCAATCATAATTTCCGCACATCGATACTCGTACGTCGTTTTGTTAACGGCGTAGGCGTATTAAGATGCAGGATATTTACCTTATAATATCAGTGATGATGAAATGCAAATTTCGACTAATATTGTGGACATTACTTTTACAGGCAAGCTGAAGATGCAAAACGTAACGAACAGGATGCTCAAGAAGCCGCGGCAACTGCTTTCTCTCATCAACAATTAGCCTACGACGTCGAATCCAGTAATTTCAATATGCATGGTAAAATGTTACTGAACTCAAACTTCGATGAAACTTTATCAATTTGTTCATGCACGTGCCTTGGAGGTACAAAGTGTCTAAATCATGAACCATTTGTTGATCCCGATTTTCGACCTACTGATATCGTTGAGAGTACGCTGAGTTTGAAGCGTGCATCGGTTTGATATATGGCAACAAAATAGTAATGTTTTATTGAACAATGTTAATTGTTTTATGTAAAAAAGCTAATAGACAGATGTACATAGGGCACTAATTAAAGTTGGAAATTTATATGGTTATGACAATGTTAAGTTAACAACTTTGTTTAATTCCAGTTATTATTATGTTTCCTAAAATATACAATGCATTGAAATCTAAACTGGGCTAGATATGCGCTCCAGCAAGAGGCGACTGCCCCCCGAAACTATATTATACTGAACCAGGCATGGGCAAAGTCTTAGCAGGTGCTAAAAGAGCGTAAGCTATCGTATACGTACACACACCGATTGTCACTAACACGCACAAGCGAAGAGCGTAAAACGAGCACTTACGATGGAACAAAGCGATGTTAAAATCAGTCTGCAATCAGAAGTTGAACTGAGCAGGTTGATGCGCACGAGTTGTATGCCGTATATAAATGACCACAGGACTATGATCGGTCCTAATTCTTAATGGTTACAATCACATTTCATAGACTCACTTAGTTTAATTATTATATCGTATCCGTCCCAACTATTCGGCTAAACTTATGCAGTGAATCAATAGCTCCATTAACACACTTCGTATGTTGTGCGTAGTTCTTTTACAATTACAAACAACTCCATACACACCCGCAATGACCAGACATTAAATCTATTGAACCTAGCTGGGTCTTATTGGAAAACCGGAAACATCGAATTTCATGAAAAGAGTCCCTAAAATCTGCCTTATCGATGGAGTGGGATAAAATATCAGGAAATGACACCAGCAATTTAGTGACGAGTACGCGTCAACGTCTGGAAAAAATTATTGTAACAAAAGAAGCGGTCACAAAGCATAAAGCATCGTTAAATCATAAAATAATAAATTTTTATACTAGTTTTATTTAAATTTGAGGTTTTAAGTTAGAGACAATTTTTGAGACTTGAGACGATTTTGCTATTCTGAAAGTGAAGATGTTTTTACACTTGAATGAAAATAAATATGTCGATAACAAATATTAAATATAACATAGTCAAAAAACATAATTATCAATAAAAATAAAAATATATGTTGGCTTTGTCTCATAATATTATATTTACGAAATTTATGTAAAATTCATTTATTTTCGTGTTTGAGTTGCTTACAAAATATAAAAAAACGACAATCGATTAATATCTATGGTGATCTCTATTCAGACTATTCAAAATGGCAGACAAAAGTTCTTTTTGGTTTTGGACTTGCTAACTACCAAGTCTCAAATTTGAGGCAATATTTTGAGACTAAAGCTAGAGACTGTTTAGTGAATAGTAACTAGTCACAAATTGAGACTTTACCTCAAAATGTCTCAAATAGAGACTAGAGACTTGTTACAGAATCTCGCTATATATTGTATATTCATATGTATCATCGCATTAACGTTTGGCATTATAGCAGAAACAGCGAATTCCGTTCCTCCCTTCCTCAGTTGCCGATCACCATCCTTTCTTGTTTTCATTTGAAGAATGCTACCATTGCTCAATATGCATATATAGTATTGTACACATCTAAGTTTTCAATTACAATTTTTCATAATATAAAATATCAAACTGAAAACAAACTATTAAAAATAGTTTATATATTTATAAATAATAGCATTCAGCTCTGATTTTGAGATAGTTTAAGAAAATTTCAATAATATTGAAGACTATTTTTATAATTATATTGAGACTGGCAACCCTGCGTTGTGAGAGAGCTGACACGTTTATACGGGAAAAATCCAAAAACCGTGGAAATCTACGGTATCTTACGGTAAAGCGGGCGGTAGAAGCGGTGTAGGCTGATCATAAGCGATAATGGGATGCCCAACTTATTCCAGTGTGAGAGCGCCTCAAAATAAGCGTTTTTTATAACATTTTCCATTATGGCCAGATCGCACCAAATAAGAAATTTGGACATTTTAAATTAACATACCCAACATTTATTACGATTGCAAATTATTATATATTGGACTTTTAATATATGGCGAAACTACTTAATTCCTTTTTTATGATTTTATGGTTTACTAAAACAACTGACTTTCAATTTTTCAATACTTAATAAGGTGAATTAGGCCTGTTAGTTCTCAATTAATAAATGTTTTTAATCATTTGTAATAGAATATTAATTCTATTATGCATCAAATTACAAAATGTTTCATGATATATATGTATTTAAATTTCGCATTTTCTTTGATTTTTATTGTTTTAAATTTTTATTAGCGATCTTGAACGGCGGCAATAAATTCCTCCGTTCTGATTCTGATTTTCAGTGGTGTCACAGAATCTGTTTGGATTTTCGTCTTTTTGAACATACACAAAACCAATATTCGAATCATATATTTACTAATGTGACAAAACTTGCAAATTAATACATTTGGAAGCAATCCTATTAAAGTTTTTAATGAGTTCCGAATTAAAGAAAAATTTTAAGAGATAACATTTATCGAATGAATATAGACGCATTTGGGTGTTAAATTACGTTTATTACGTTTTGTAAATGTAATATCTTTAAAATTCCGGTATTTTTTATTCCAAAATTTCAATAATTAAGACATTACGTGTTTTATACTTATGTTTTCCCTCCTAGAAATAAAGATAAATTAATTCGAAATAGTAAAATAATTTGGTTTCTTAAATTACATTTGAAATCTGTGAGCGAATATCTTCTTTCTTTGTTTATGATAGCAAAGCTGATAAAATAGGTTTCCGTTACACCCAAAACCGATACAAATTCTGTTTCGAATACGAAACATCATGTTTGATGACTGATCAGTTTGATCAATTTGGATATTTTAGCTTTAATGGCTTGGAAGATATGTACATCAAACCTATTACCCTGTTAGGGTACGGGAAACTCCCGCTTTTTCAAAATTTTTAGTCCACAGGTGCACCTTGCTATTTGCGAAATTACATTCTATACCTCATTTTAGTGCTTTTTTATGGCATTTTGTAAATTTTTGTTTAATGGCGTTTTGGAGTTGTGGCAATGGTCCGATTACGCCCGTCTACGAACCCGTCCTTTCTTTTTTTGTTTTTTTTGCCAAGTTGCACAGACGAACGGACAGGCGGACGGGTAGAGTCACTTCGATTCCAATTCGCCTCATCATCCTGATCATTTATATATGTATGTATATACATATAATCCTTTATCGATTATTTTTACCATAAGTGATACAAACAACCGTTAAGCGAACAAAACTACTCTGTAGCAACATGTTGCAAGAGTATAAAAATATACTGTATTATTATAGGTATTACATATGTATATGTATACCCAAGAACTTTAACTTGCTTAGTTTACGTTATTTTTAACTATCTATTGCAAATTCAAATCAAGTCAAGTATAAATAAATATAGTTTAAAAAAAACTAAAAAACGGTCGACGACCAACCCAGTATACTATTTAAATCTCACCAAAACTAGTTTTATAACGATGTTGCATACTTTTAAGCGCATATTTTTGGTGAGCTGCTTAAACTTACCGTGCGATTCTGTACTGTGATACAGTATCAAGTCTCTAAATTTGACAGGGACAATTTTTGAGACTTGAGACGATTTTGCTATTCTGTAAGTGATAGTCACAAACTCTATTACATTTCATTATTCAGAGATGTTTTTATACTTGAATGAAAATAAATATGTCGATAACAAATATTAAATTTTCTATAACATATTCAAAAAAAATAAAAATATCAATAAAAATAAACACATATGTTGACTTTGTTTCATAATATTAACGAAATTTATGTAAAATTTATTTATTTTTAACCTTTTCGTGTTTGAGTTGCTTACAAAATATAAAAAAACGACAATCGATTAATATCTATGGTGATCTCTATTCAGACT